CTAGACTGGCAAGACCAGGGCCACTTAGTATTATAGATCAAAATCACCTTAAAATGAGTTTGCAAACCACGAGGAAGCTACCACAAGTGTTAGACCATCAGCTTAATGGATGTATGACAGGAAATTTTGCAGCAAGGGACCATTTGCTTACAGACCAGCTCCAGTCTCCAGACAGACTACAGCTGATGTATTAGTTTTCAGTAGCCCCATGCCGTAGCAGCAGAGGCCTGTGCAGCAGTCTGGAGGTTTGTATCTGAATGGAGCAAGTACAACTCACCCATAGAGTTGAGAACAAGCTATCATGACCTTGGCAATCTGGTGATCTAGCTGAGCATCCAGACTGGATCCTGAGTGGTGGTGGTGTCTCCGCTACAGGGGCCAATTGTCTCCCTGCTGCATCTTCTGCGTGTTGCCCCTAACCAGGCAACAACATCTCTGCCCTGTCTTGATTTCCTGCCAGCCCTCCTTCTCCTCCCTCTCCTTTTGCTCACAGGAGTTGTTCTCAGGCCCTGTCTGTGCCCTGCAGTGCCCACTGCACCCATGGAGATGAATCGTAAAGCTGGTGCTGTTCTGGTCAGTAAGGGCAGTCTCCATGTCGCATTCCTCTCCTCGAGAGCCTCTAAGGATGCAAGGAGAGATTTTATGTTTCTGCAGTGCAGTTAGAAGAAGCAGTGATTGTAATCAACATGATGGAGAAGAACTGTAGACACTGTTTTGCAGACCCCACCTCTGCAAGAGTAATGTGGGCAGGTGAAGACAATATGTGCATTCAAGCATCGCACATCAAATGGAAGCCTCTCCAGTGGTTTTCAACTTTTTTTATTAGTAAAAATATTTTTATTTCCTTGCAACGTCAGTTGTCTTCAAGAGCTAGTGTACACAGCTCTCAAACTGAAAAATTACCCTGCTCTTATCCGGATATCAACAGGAACTGCACTGAAATGTAGTTGTGGTAGGGACCAGATAATGGCAATAATAGTTAGCATGTTAATTGCTTTAACTCTCTGAAGCATTTTGTGACTGCCTGATCTAAAAAGTCTGCGGTCTTGCCTGCTGTGCTTATGTATGAACTAATTCCTTCCAAATCCCAGCCTGCCTGAGGGTACACTATCAATATCCAATATAGGTTTTGAAATTAGGAGTTCCTGACTCTTTTTATTTTCCCCTATTATGAGACGCTGCCCATTTCCTGCAGTTGTTTATCCATAGTGAGCCATGCTCACAATGATCCTATAGTAGATGCCAGAGGCATTCTTGACATAAATGAAAATCCCATTTGGTTGCATTGATAAACTTATCACTTCTGATATAAGCAGTCCTGCTTTCCTTTCTTGGTAGAATTGTTTCAACAAATATTGGATTAGTTTTTCGTGGGATTGAATCCTCCACCTGCAAAGAGGTTGGTGCTGCTGTGCTTCTCTTCCCATCCCATTGCGTTATGGGTTGATAATACCTTCTCCATATCATATTCAGCTGTCATCAAGAACAAGGCATTTACTTCTGTGAGATTGCTGAAGTGTAGGATGGGCAGTGCCTGGAGAGTGGCTGTCTTATGGCTTCTTGTGTTCGTACAGTCAGTGAAGTCCAAGGGGTCTATAACCACACACCAGTGCCGAGGCTCTGTATTCCAAAGACAGAGGGAACAAAAATAGGAAAACAAAGAAAAGAAATGTTGCATTAGTTACATAGACAATATGATACAGTTGAAAAACAGTGCTCTATCTAAAACTGTGCAAGAATTTTCTTCAAGGTTAATCCTGAAATTTATTAAAGGTCACTATTCAGAATGACTCCATATATTCTTAGACTTAAAAATATTATAAAAGCTCTCACCTTATTATTCAAACAAAATCTTCTGTTGTTACAAGTGATGAAAGCATCAACCAAAGTAGTGTAAAAGAAGATACAGGTTTATATCTGTAATTCCAGATCCAAATGGACTTCATAAAGTTAATAAAGTTTGGAAAACCAAAATGCTGGGGAAAAAATATCCTCTCAGTAGTGTAGACTCAGCCGCCTGTGATCAGAATATTTTGTGCAGTCTTTTAGTGGGTATAGCATGCTGTACTGTCGGACCAAGACCGTAGTATATAATATGAGAGAAAGGAACAAAAGCTTTTGCAAATATTTACACAACTGGTTGTATACCGATGTGTAGAAGTGCCCAGTACTGGCCTGTCCTTTAAAGGATGTTGTTTTCTGTTGATGTTTAAAGAGTTTTCTATTAATGGAGGTGAACTCATGTAATGATTTTAATACACTAGTACTGCTCTTACCCTGAGGCTGTGTCAAGAACAGGCTAATTAAATGCGTAATTAAGTGCATAATTAAAAATACATCTTCAATATGCACGTCTGTAGTCCCAATATTATATGGAGGCACACGAACTCCAAATGGCTGGGAACAAAAGCAAGATCAGAGCCATTGATGGCAATCTGTTCACAGGACCAGAGTATGGACCTTGTTACATACTGTTCATTTTTATCCATCAATGGATTGTAGAACAATGTAATTTGCTTTGAAAAAAATTCCACACTGTAATGGAGTATTTCAGCTTTTGTTATTGTGTGTGTCAATTCGCCATATTCACTAGTCCTTAATATCTTTCTTTGTAATTATATCATTTATATACTTTCTTTTAAAATAGCCAACATAATCAGACCCGGTAATCAACAAGCTGGGTAACAGAACAATCCTTTTGTCTGTCTGTCTCTGTTCCGGTATTTATGAAATAGTAAAAGTCATGCTTGGACACTCTTATTTCCCCCCACATTCGAATATACACAAAATAACGAGCCTGAAGGCATTAAGGACTTCTTGTGCAAAAGAAATATCTGTTCTGAAAAGGAGGCTTGGTACATACTAACTTTCTCCTGGGAGCACGCAACTTTGTCTGAATCATACGCTACTGGCTTGTGGTGAACTGTGGTGTTTTAAAACTGTACAGCTGACACAATTTTGAAATAAAATACCCTGAAGGAAATATGATGATACATTTAAGTAATTGGGCTGTGTATCCTGCATATACTTTTTGAATTCTTCATACATGTATTTTGTAAATGTCATGTTTAATTCCCTTGAGCACTTGTTTGGGGAATGGAGAAGGCGAGACAGTGAATTTAGACCTACTGAATCTTTAAAAGCAAATTTCCAACTGCTGCCAACAAAACTTAAATTCACCAAGCAGCTTGCTTCCTGGCAGCCAGGAATGTTGTGAAGCGGCCTCGGCCTCGGCCTCCATCCCACTTCCTAAAAGCGAGCTGAGATGGCGAGAGCACGGTTGCGCTGGCAGACCAGGAAGCGCCGCCTGTTGCAATGACTCCTCTAGATACCCGTAACTCGAGTACACGCAAGGACTGCCCCGCAGGCTTGGTGCCGCCTCTATAAAACAACAAACTCCGGCCAAGCTGCTGACACACCTTCTTTCAGCCGGTGCATCGGGCGGGAGAGATGCAGGTGTGCTGGCAGCACAAGAGGAGGTAGGGCACTGCCTTGCTACAACATGAAAGCAGGGGAGTTGCCAGTAGCAGTTGTCAGTGCCTGTAAAATATTCTCTCTAAGTTCATCTAGCGCTCTTCTCTTCTTTTCCTTTTTTTTTCCCCTTTGGTGGAGTAAGCCAAAGCTTTGAGCATACTAGAAATGAGGGTGAGGGGTGGTGGGGGGGTTAGGCTGGTGTTATGGTAACATAGAGTAAATGCTTTTTGTGACCATCATTCATTTCTGTGGAAATAACCTTAAGCTGTGACTTCTGTCTTCATATATGAAGGAGACAAAGATATCTTAGTGTAACATACACAGGGCATTTTGAAATTATGCAGTGATACTTCTAAAATTACTTTTGTTGAGCAGAACTAATTTGCCTTCAGTTTTGCAGTTAGTGATTTTCATAGCATCTTGTGTGTCGCCTTGTGTGAGCAGTGAATCTTGCACACAGCTAGTGGAGAAGAGGTAAATGATTTCAAAATAGGAAAATTTGACTGAATGCTGGCAGGAGCTCAAAAGCAATTACATACCTGAAGAGGTCCTCTCAGTTCAGTTTTACAGCAGAATAAATGTTAGAGCAGTTGTATCCCCTTCAAATGAAATTGTCTGACTGGGGCAAGCACAGGTGGTGCAGCTTTCTTTGGCTTGTGCTTCTTAGTTGTTGAAAGTGATTAGTAAGAAAAAAATTGAACTATTTTGTATTTTTGCTGTGAATCCTTCGTTGTCTTTGAAAACTGTTAAGGTTTGTGTTGCTCCAAGATTCACATCTGAAGTCTTTGTTTCCTCATTGTCACAGGTGGTTCTGTGTTACTGTTCATTGTAAGATTGCTTAAATAGTCAAATTGTTTAGTGAAAGGCTTTTTTTTCCTCTTGACTACCTCTAGAGTGCATGGGTACACTTTCAGGGGAATCTAAACTGATCAGTTAAGAGGGATTTGGGATTCTGTCAGTCTTGGTAAAAGTCAGAGGCAGGAAATGTCAGGTTATCAGCAGTTATACTGAAGTTAAATTGTTTTAATTTGTTTTTTAGACAATATGAGGAAAATAAAAGGTTGGTGTCAGTGGAGAATGGCAGAGTTGATAGAACTGTTAGCCCCCATGGAGCAGCAAGAAGGTTTTTTCTGTGAATGGCTGTTGCACACGCAGCTGGCTGGGACGGAATGGCAAGGTTCAGCATCCTCAGTGTGGGGTAATCCCCAGAGCTGACCAAAGACATGTCCAGGCTTCTTTATCTTGATGAAGAGTGGTCTGTTCTCTGTGGGTTATAAATGTTACATTTTATTTTTACTCTTCCAGAAACATCATTTGACTCACCGAAGAATTAAAACTGACAGCACCACAGAGCCATGTGGGAGAAAAGGGGATTTTAGACTCAAGAGACACAATCAAGCCATGAGAAGTAAAGAAATTTGGATGGTTTCTCACCAAATGGAAGATATCTAGAAAGCCTCTGAGACCATTGCATCTCTCCATCCCATAAAGCAGAAACTGTGTTTTTGGCCCTGGACATTAATAAAATGCTGGATTCAATCAAGTGTGTCCTGGTGGGAGACTCTGCAGTGGGGAAAACATCTCTCTTGGTACGTTTCACCTCTGAGACTTTTCCAGATGACTACAGACCCACTGTATATGAAAATACTGGAGTAGATGTCTTCATGGATGGTGTACAAATTAGCCTAGGTCTTTGGGACACATCTGGCAGTGATGCCTTCAAAGGCATTCGCCCCCTCTCATACCAACAGGCAGATGTGGTATTAATGTGCTACTCGGTGGCAAACCACAATTCCTTTCTGAACCTGAGGAACAAATGGATCGGTGAGATCCGCAGCCATTTGCCTCGCATCCCCGTTTTGGTAGTGGCTACTCAGACTGACCAGCGTGACACAGGGCCCTACCGTTCCTCCTGCATCAGCCCAATAGACGGGAAACGGCTTGCCCAGGATGTGCGAGCCAAAGGCTATTTGGAGTGCTCTGCCCTCAGCAACCGAGGGGTGCAGCAGGTGTTTGAGTACGCCGTGCGGACAGCAGTCAATCAAGCCAAAAGGCAGAACAGGAGGAAGCTCTTCTCCATTAATGAGTGCAAGATCTTTTGAGGACCATTGGTAGTGGTTTTGCCCACATTTGTTCTTTCTGTCTTCACACAAAGGTACCTTGGGAGAGAGCAAAGTGACTCAAATGAGGACTCCTGGCAGGACCACAGTAGAGACAGATGTACACTCTATCTGATCTACTCTGCCCCCCTCAAAACACATGGCTACTATTTTGAAAAATAAAAGGTGTGGGTACTTACCCTTATTCACAAGCCTGTGTTTGGACTTTTCTGGCCTGGACTGGAGTGGGCTGAGCCTGGAGATCTGCAGATAATAGCTGTGCTGGTTTTGTTGTTGATGATGTTTCTTGGTTGTTGGTTTGTCTGCACTTATTTAATGACAAATTTCTGCCTGGATCAACTCACACCTCTTGACATGCCTGTCCGTGGGGCATTTTTTTCACTTTAACAACTTAGTGCACAGAATCTGACCACTGTGTATTCTATTTAAAAGACTCTTGTATATGTTGTTGTAAAATCCTGACAGTTTGTTTTCATATTTTGGAGGTTCTTCCTTTAGCTAACCACAGAAAAAAATTGTCCTACCCATATAACAAATGGCCTGCAGGCAAGCCTAGCACTTCTTAGACATGCCCAAGTGACTGTGTAACAATAATCAAATCCAGTACCCAGCATAGGAGTGATCAAAACTTAGTGATATTTGACAGCTGCCCTGCGGCTTTGTGAGATTTGTTATTTTAGTCTTGTTCCTCAGCAATGTGGTCAAAGATGGGACTAACTAGGAGGAATCTAACTTGATTCTTCCTAGACCTCACCCGGTTACAGCCCCAGAAGTTGGTCAGGGCTGGTTTAGACATAAGGTTGGCTTGGCAGAGACAAATCTGTGCTATCATCACCTCTGTTGTCCCTGCTGTAATTCTGGAGGCAAAAGATTTCAGTCTCCAGGACTGAAAGTATTTTTTCATGAGCACTAAAATTCTCACATATTTTTAGTATACTTCTTTTCTAAACAGTGGTTTTAGTGAAACCAGTCACCTTCTATAGTAAAAAATTAAGTACATGGTAATGTTGAATGTGTGTATTTAGAATGGATATATAACATTTTTTTTTCAATTTGAATACTAAGGATAACTGCCTGGATTGTATCAAAGGAAGACTGAAACAGGCTTCGCATTCTGGGGAGCCTGGCAAGTCTAAGAGTCAAATCCTGATGTACCTACTTGGGCCAAGTTACCCTCCTGCACAGAAAGCCAGGCTAAGGAGGTGAAAACTCCAGGTGCGTAAGAGGACTCTGCTGGAAGACGAAGTGGGGTCAACACACAATGCTGTACATTCCTCGTGAGTTGTGGTGTTCCCCTCCTAGGTCATCTGTCCCCTTTGTCTTGCACCATCTCTCAGATCTTGCAGATCTGTCTCATCCCAAGGTTTCTGCTGCCCACAGCAGAAATCCGCAGGGGATTTCTTAGTGCAGCCAGATGTTTATTCTCCCTTTCCCTGTCCTTCAGCTAGCGCAGAACTGACCTTTGAAGGTCTTATAGCATGGTGTCATAAAAGATGGCACGTAGCACAGTAGGATGATTCTCTCTCCACATGGACCCCAAGAGAATGACCTGTGTCTGTTTTGACTCATGTGTTTCAACAGGAAAGGATGTAGTGGCTTGTCTGATTCAAATCCAAGGTGGGACTTCAGGAGTTACCCTATTAAGCAAATAAGCTGTAGCTCAGATCTTATCTATCTATAGTCTGTCTCTGAAAAACTGTGTGCTCTTCTCTAAACTCTTTTCTATCTCTGAGCTTCTCTACGGGGAGAAATTCCCAGTTAAATCATTCCCCTCCTATGAGTCACAGAGATTATCTCCCCTGTGGTGTAGGTGAGCACTGAGAACACCTTGAACAGCAGTGGTGCATGGGACACCTGGTGTTGTGATCATCCCACTAGCTCCCAGTCTGGTGAATATTTACCACTCGTCAACGTGATTGTAAGGGAGGCTTTAGGTCATAAAAACATACTGGTCTCCTGTGAGGTTTTCATATCAGCTTGAAATCTTTACAAGATTCTGCACTGGAGCACACAAGACAAGGACTCCCACCACTGCCTGTCTTTCCTGTACTCTTCACTTTCCTACTTCTCTTTCTCTTTGCAAAATTTCAGGTGTTGATTGCAACTTCTTTGCCCCCTGAAACACTAAAACTGACATGGTTGTAAAAGAACCTGAACAGCATGATACTTATGCAAAGTTACACAAGTGGCTAGGTATTTGCAGTCCTCAGTTAAAAACCTTTTGGCTTTTGGAAGAAATATGTTTCTACATCTCAACTCTTGCAATGCCTCTTCACTGAAAGTTTTGGGTTTTGTAACCTTAATTTAAAAGTGGCCATTTGTTACTGTTTGAACATTAAAGATCAGATACAAAATGTCACATTGTGAATCTTCAAATCTGTTAACAGTTGCAGACATTTTTGTTATAGTCCCCACTCCACTGGTGGATTTAATGCCTGGTTTCATCAACTTTTTTTGAGACATATTTTTGCCAGCATGAAATAGTCTTTTTTTCTCTGTGGGTTAAGCTTTATTTACAACAGTTCATGCTGCTATTTTTATATGTTGAAGGACAGTAACTGTTAGGCCAGGATGCTGTGTTGTGGTCTCTGCCATGGAATGCTGGAGTCAGGGACCAGATGGCTCCAGAGAGTTGTTATCAGAGAAAGCCAGATGAAGATGCACTCCAGAATCATACCATAACTGAAAATCCCATCTCATCTGTATTTGCTTCACAAGACTTGTTATGATGTATTGCAAAATGAAGAATTCAAGGTTTGCTTGGAAGTCAGTGAAGCAAGGTGGATAGGCTTCCCTGAGATGCCCGAGCTAATGATACAGGATGCACAGGGGATTTTGGGGTGGCTTGACATACTCTTGATTGTGCATCCTAGAGCCAGTGCAAAGTGTGAGGCCACCACAAGCTGTCTGATTTTTAAAATCATATTGGAGGGAGGACAAAGTAACAAGGGGATTTTGGTTTGGTGCTATGTGAAAGAAACAATTCCGATTTTCACAGCCTGGTTGTTTTCAGACTCTCAGAGCTAAAAGGCACTTTTCACTGGGAACAAACTGTGAAGCACATTATTTTAGTGTCTGCAATTATGCAGCTTTCCCTGAGCTATAGAAGTGATGTCCTCAAAAACTGTGGCAACTCAAACACAGAGAGTGAAATCTGGATGTATTGGAACTCAGCCAAAGATTCAGCCAAATGGCTTATTGGGGTGGGGCTTGCACAACTGCAGCCGTGCTGCCCCTGGTGTGAACGGCGAGGGACTGCTGAGGTTTCCCATGAAACCCTACCAGGGTGGTTTTGCTAGTGTCACTTGGGCAACAGCGTCCCTGGGTACAGCTTGGTGGTAAAAATCTGGCTCTAATATGCAAAATACATTCAAACAACAGCTGGGCACACATGTTAGGTTTCAACTTCTTTTCTCTGAAAAACAGCAGGTTGAGGGAGACAGAAAAAATGCGCAGCCTCGCCTCAGTCAGGTCAAGCCGTTCAGCTGAGGGAAGAGACCTTGCCCAAATGCACCCCTTCTATCTTCTCAAACCGATCTCTTCCAGTCTGTTACTCCATTGCTAATTTTACTTTCACTATTAAAATAGGTTAAAAAATTTTAAAAAATATAAAATAGCTGGAACTTAAAATTAGAACAGCGATAGCACTGTTATTTTTGTCAGTGTCTGAGTTGTCATTTTGACAGAAAAGTAATTTTGCATCACTAATGGTTTTATTGAATTCTGCAAGTCAGATAAAAAGTTGAATAGATATGCAATTGTGATTAGAATTGGAAACCATTCTTTCATCAGAAAAAAGTATTTTTCTTTAGTAATTTGCAAAATGTTGTGAGTACACATTACATTATTTTAAATACAGATTTCTCAGCCTTTTTATACTTACTTGATCTGCAGCACACAATATAAACATTTTCTAAGAATAAATAATAAAAACATGTTTCATCTCTTCCCCCCCACCCCCTGATTTTTCATATGGGAAATTATTCAAGCTTATATTCAAATTATTCAAGTTAGATATAATCGATACTGTTTTGCCTGATATCTGCAATTACCAGTTTGCAAATATTTGTGCAGTATTTGTGGGTAGTCTGCAATTGCTAAGGTGTGTGAACACATACTAGCTGATGCTTGTGCTGATAAAGCAAATGCATTTAAAGCAGTCTTTTTATACATGGCACAACTATGAAATAAATCACCACAGGGATCAGACATGAAGGAAGAAGAAGCATTGGCCCTCTGACATCTCAGCCTTTCCTGTATTACTATTGCATTTGAGTGAATACAGCCATTAAAATAATTTCAAATAAATGGGACAATTCATGTCTCTTAGCACTTTCTCCTAATGCCTCTGTTACACAGAGCTCAGGTTAATATACTAAGACTAAAAATCTTCATTTCAGAACACCAGTACAGCTTGTCTGCTCTTGCCTTTGCAAGCAAGTTAACTACCTTGACTTAATTAAAAGTTGGTTCAGCCTCTGAAAAAAGCCAGATACGGGCACAATTGGGTTAGCCAAACTCCCTTGCTCTGAAATGACAGTAATGAACTTTTGGCTCTGGATGTGAGGAAACTTATTTTATGTCTCAGAGATTTCCTTCCCAGCCGTAAGTGCAAAAAGTCCTGACCAGTTATCAGTGTGTACCTGTCCTAGCTGACCTGCACACCCCTCACATTGTGCTCTGAGCAGCCAGCTGTTGAAAGCAAAATTCAGGGAGAAAACAACCTTTGTGTATATCTAGATGTTAATACTGCTGTAAGTGCTTAACTGTAGCTATGACGGCCTTTCCACTGCCCTGGACCTCTTGCTCCATTGTGGCTCAACCATGCAGCTGCTGTGTGCCAGCATGGTCCCTGTTGCTTGGGAGGCAGAAGAAGAGCATCACCCCCAGGCAGCCAGGGAGACAGGTTTTAAGCAGGACAGAAGAGATGCTCCTCAGGGCTCCCCTTACCAGGCATCACAGGCAACTGCCCTACTCTGCAAAGAGAGCTGCCCTGCCTCAATCACACTTCTGCCACTTGCAGGTGCCCTTGTAGTAACAGATTTATTTTGTGTGCCATTTCTAAAATCAGCATCTCTGTAAGTC